ATCACCACCCACCATTACCACCACCAGGCTGATGTGTGACATAGCATCACAATAAGAAAAAACAAAAAATTGAACCACCCAGGTGCCAGGAATTCCCATCAATGTCAAGGATCACAAAATTGGAAATTCAATTAAACTACCATAATTACTAGTAACTCACTGAGTAGTAGTCTGGTCCTCCACCAGGGTGTTCTACCTATAAACCCCAAACCAAACCAAACCACAGCCTATGAGTGGATCGTATTACAGAAATAGGATTTTTTTTTCTTTAAAGAACTGGTGTAAACATAATGTAACTTGTCCCATTGCTTTACTTTGGGGAGAAAAGCTTTGGGAATGCCAAGGATCCTCAGGACTATGCCTACCTCTTCATACAAACTCCAGCCCCGAGCTCTACACCTGTCATTGGATACATACTGGGTCTTCATGAAGGGGAGCTCCACGGGGGAGTTCCTGGGCTTTTCTTACTCACGATCAGCCATGCAGCAGCCAGCCCAGGACCGGTTCTCAAGCTGCTGAGGGATTGAATGAAGTAAGTAAACCTGATTCTTGGGTTTGACAAAGCAAGAGGATCAGCCTCAAATCCAAAAGCAGGATCAGTAAATAATTTTGCTTCCTAAGAATCCTCTCTCCATTTGTACAAATCAGGAATCAATGCTTTCTTCCTTTAATAATTTCACCTTATAACTGGAGTGCAGTTAACAGTGAGGGTTCTATTTGGATGGATGAAAATGGTTTGAGAATAGATAATGGTGATGCTTGCATCACGCTCTGGAGATAATTAATGCCTCGTGAATGAAACACTTAACAATGGTCGTTTGTCGTTTCAGCTAATTAAATAAAATTTTAAAGATAAGATAAAGCAAATGGTTAAGGTGTTTGAGTTTTAGAACAGCGAACTAACTAAATATTTCAATGTTAGTTTGCTCACCTGTGATCTCAGATCACGCTGAGGTGAGGCGGGGGAAATGTGCCCAAACTGGAATTTAGCGCATGGGAGTGGGGGTGGGAAGAAGAGTTACAAATAGTAATTCTAATTATAACCTTGAAATCACCCTTATAATGTGTTATGGGTCCATTTTTTTTCCTGGAACAGCTTAAAGGGAAGCTGCTTGCTCTGTTGCAGAGATTGTGTAGTTGATTTTTATTTGGGCTATTGTTTGGAAAAGATCAGCTGGCTGTGTAGATATGAAATACAGTTTTTCCATAAGACGGGTGTTACCTTCGTATTAAAAAGACCACCGTATTTGTTCCACACCCCTGTACACAGGTGATGGTATTAATACTAAACTGCAACATGCAGGAATTAAACTATAACCCTCCCACCCCTGCCTAAAGGATGCTTTGCAATATTTTCCCCATTTTCCATGTATTCTTGGGAAGAAATCACGAAGACCCTAGCATTGGACATTTGGAAAGCAGAGAAAGAACCAAGAGGACCATCCTTCCTGAGATGGACTGACCAGAGGCTGTAACCATGGGCTCCACCACAGTGGTCATCGTGAGGGCGGCCCCGGACTGGGCAGCAAGTCGCTCCCATTGTCCATGCGGTGGCTATGCGTCAGAACCAACCAAACTGCACCCGACAGTTTCTCCATATACACTGCAGCTAACACTGATTGAGCGCGCTCTAGTGGCACAGTGGGTTACGTGTTTGGACACTGTATTAGTCTGGGTACTTTGGAGAAACAAATCCACAGCGACTCATGTATAAGAGAGAGTTTTATGTAAAGAAAATGTGCATCACAAAAACATCCCAACCCAACGCTGCCCAAGCCCACAAGTCCAACATTAACCCATTAACCCATTAACCCAACACCAGTCCACAAAGTCCTCCACCTCACAAAACAGAGGCAATGATGCCGACTGCAGGAGGAAAGCTGAGTCCGTGAACGTGTAAGCATCTCAGCACTGGCAAGGGTCTCCACACGGCTGCTCCAGCACCCAGGGCTGCATCGGGATAGATCCATGCGGCTTCTCCTTGGAGATGTCTTGTAGGAAGTCAATCTTGCAAGCTGAAGCAGGGAACTGCTAAGGCAGCTGCACCCGATACAACCATCACAAAACAAGAGACCCGAGAACTAGAAAGGCGAGGCTTCATCACCCATTTATCCCTCCGCCTTTCAATCAGCACCACATGTGATTATCGGCCAGGCTGGCACAATTAACTAACTCAGACACTAACCACAAGGTCAGCAGTTCAAACCCACCAGCCTCTCCAAGGGAATAAGATGAGACTATCTACTTCTGAAAAGATGTATTGCTTCGGAAATGCAAAGGGACAATTCTATTCATTCCTGTAGGGTCACTAAGAGCCAGAACTGACTTGATGGTAACAAGTACATGGAAGGATCGGATTTTGTGTCCTGATTCTTTCTTCTTCCTTGGCCATCTGTTAATCTAGTGTCAGCCAAGCAGCCAGAACAAGTCTGTTAACATTGAATTCCGACCAGGGCACATCTCACCTCAAAAGCAGTGAGAGGCCAAGTCCTACAGTGAGTGAGCCTGCCCTCCCCCACAGGGGTTACATCTCCAGTCTTGACCCCCACCGCCTTCCCCCACAGGCCCCTCTAGCCTCAGGGTCTCTGCGTTCACGGGAGCCTCTCTTTGGCAAGCTCCTGTGCACAGATTTGCAGAGATTGCTCCCTGATTTACTTCTGTCAATTCCCCCAAAGCCACTTTCTCTGTGGGGCCTTCTCTCACCCTGTCAGATGCCCTGTTCCTTTTAAGTGTTCCAATGGACTTCAGAGTTTCTCTTTTTGTTGTATTAAAAAAAGTCATCTTATTGGGGGCTCGTACAACTCTTACCACACTCCATCCACACATTTATCGTATCAAGCACATTTGTATATTTAAGGCCATCATCGTTCTCAAAACATTTTCTTTCTACTTGAGCCCTTGATATCAGTTCCACCACCCTCCCCTCCCTCCCTCCCTCCCTCATGAACCCTTCATAATTTATAAATTGTTATTATTTTTTCATGTCTTACACTGTCTGATGTCTCCCTTCACCCACTTTTCTATTGGCCATCCCCCAGGGAGGGGATTATATGTAGACCATATAATCAGTTCCCCTCTCACTCCCCAAACCTTCCCCTTTCCCTCCTGGTATCTCTACTCTCATTATTGGTCCTGATAAGGTGACCAGATTTTAACATTGGTAAAGCGGGACACCATTGATAAAACTCATATCCTGGCAAAATAGCCAAATGGCAGCTGAAAACTGTATACCCTAGCTTGTTGTGCATTCTTTCCAAAAATTGGGACTTTTTTAAAATGTTGCAGGACGCAGGAAAAATTGTTAAAAATCGGGACCGTCCCGCCAAAAGCAGGACGTCTGGTCACCTTAGACTCCTGAGGGGTTTATCTGCCTGGATTCCCTGTGTTTCCAGCTCTGATCTGTACCAGTGTACATGCTCTGGTCTAGCCGGATTTGTAAAGTAGAATTGAGGTCATGATAGTGGGGTGGGGGAGGAAGCATTCAAGAACTTCAGGTTTTATTTAAAAAACAAAAACAACCCTCACTGCCATTGAGTCAATGCTGACTCATAGTAACCCCCTCTATGTTTCCGCAACAGTAACTGTTGACAGTAGCAGAAAGACCAGTCTTTCTCCCACAGAGCTGCTGGTGGCTTTGAACTGCCAACCCTATGGATGGCAGCCCAACACATAACCACTATGCCATCAGGCCTGCTAGGGTATCTAGCAGCCTCCATTTCTGACACCTTTATTAAGTGTTTCGCCTGTCTCGACAGCCTAACGCCCACACCAGGGAAGCAGGGAGTTTTCTCTTGTTTACCTCTGTAACTTCTGGGCACCGAGCAGGTGTCATCCATGAAGGAGAACTGCAGCTATAAATGCCTTCCCTTCATTAGGCCAGGGCTTCCTGATTTCTTCCTGAGGATATGAAGACACTGGAAAGCAAGCTGTGGGTCCTGTCTAGCTCAGGGGAAAGAGCTCTATTGTTCTATCAAGCTGGTTGTGAAAACGATGCTTGGAAACTTTGAAAAAAATGCTGTTTTTCTGTTGACCTGTACACTCCATTCAGGAACTTACAGTACAAAGCGTTATTCTGCAATGGTCAAGCAAGCAGAACCCTGGATGTTTAAACACAGCTAACCTAAGAGGATCCAGTTAACAGCTGAGTTTTCTATTAGGGATGATTCAAGTTGTTACTTTATAAAATTTCTTGCAATTCTCACCACTCGGAAATACTTAAAATTACAACCCAAGTTTCTTGTCTGTTCTTCACTGAGATATCTTGCGCACACCGTAAGATGTGTCATCTTACAGTACGGTCCGGTGGTTGTTCACAGAACATTTTCATTAGCCTCATGACAAACCTCGTACTGGTGAGGCCTCACTCCCCATGACTAACCCCAGCCGCTAGCAACCACAAGCTACTTGCTGGTTCACCCTCCATGGCTTGGCCTATTCAAATATAAAAGTGACTTCTGACCTATGCATGTCTCTTGTAGCCTACAGTCTGAGCATCATGCTCTAGTGAGCCTGGTCCTTCTCTCGGCATGGGTTCCCAGACCACAAGTGCCGGTGGCTCTGAGCTTGAGTGGGCCAAGGCGGTCAGTGTGAAGGTGGTGCTTTCAGGGGAAGGCCAACCAGGGGCCATCCCATCCACAGTGGGCTTATTTCAAACAATGAAACTCCTGACGTCCGTGGTAAGAACTGGAGGATGAGGATGAAGACATCCAAGAATCTCTCTTTTTGAGCATGCGATTGGGAGGGGCACTACAGACACCACCACCTCTCTTCCTGTGTGTCTCAGCCTCTTAAATGCCCGGGGACAGCGAGAGGGTCCGTCACCCCACGGCTGGGGAAAGATAGGCAGCTTGGTGATAGAGAACAAAGGAGAAAGCAGTGGAGGCACCCATACACTGGACAACATAACTCAGTTCCTTACACAAATAATCATATGGCCCATAGTTGACATCCAGTAACTGCTGGCTAGATATCAGAATGTACTTAGTCATAAGTGAAAGATGTATGTTGAAGCCCTTTGTAAGCTATACCGTACTATATTTTCACACATATAACATACCATCTACATTTATTTGTCAAATGCTCCCTTCTTCCCAGAGATATTTTTGTAAATGCATTATGCTACATGTTTTTTTAATTAAAAATTTGGTTTTGACATAGGGATGTGAGTTAGTTAGTTTATTGTGCCAACCTGGTCGATAAACACATGTGGGATTAATTGAAGGGCAGAGAGATAAATGGCTCGGTGAGCCTCACCTTTCTACTTCTCGGGTCTCTTGCTTTGTGATGGTCGCACTAGGGTGCAGTTGCCTTAGCAGTTCCCTGCTTCAGCTGGCAAGGCTCACTTCCTGCAAGACATCCCTGAGGAGAAGCCACATGGACCTACCCTGATGCAGCCCTGGGTGTTGGAGCACCCGTGTGGAGACCCCTGCCAGCACTGAGATGCTTACACATTCACTGACTCGGCTTTCCTTCTGCAGTCGGCATCATTACATCTGCTTTGTGAGATGGAGGAAGACTTTTTGGACTGGTGTTGGACATATGGGTTAATGGGTTAATGTTGGACTTGTGGGCTTGGGCAGCACTGGGTTGGGATGTTTTCTTGATGCACAGTTAACCTTTATATAAAACTCTCTTTTACATGAGTTTCTGTGGATTTGTTTCTCTAAAGTACCCAGACAAATACAGGATGCTTATGAAAATAACTCCATTAGGGGAAGGAGCAACTGGCAAATGTAGACGGTGGGTGTGAGTTGTGTAAAAATATTGTATGTATATTCCTTAATCCAATTGATTCTCTTTAAAGTCACTCAGAAATGCTGGGGAATTACTTAAACTGCCTTTGTTCTATGAGAGAGAAAAGAAGACAAGTTGTCTGCCCTCCGGGAGCTTGTCAGCATCAGGAGATTGGGAGAAAGCATCTTAAGTAGCCAGAAAACATGAGCAAATACGGAATTATACCTGGCCAGGGAATTCTAACCCAGAGATGGTGGCAGGGAGCTTCCCTTACAGGAAGGAACCAGCTTTGAACGACGCAAGTGAAACAAGACATTGCAAAGGTGGAGGATCACATTTCCCACATACGGGCTGTTTGGGAAAAGTTAGGGATTGCTGGACATCTTACCTCAGAACAGAGTCTAAACTGGAGGCAGAGGCTGCACCGTTTGGATCGAACTCAACGTCCTTTAAGGCAAATCTTTCCAGGGCTTCGAAGATCCTGTTTGACTCTTTGGAAATAAACGCCTGCTCGCACTCCTTGGTAAACTCTTCATGATAGGAACGTTCGAAGCTGTGTTTGTAGTCTTTATAGTCAAAAAGATAAATTTTAACCTCTTAGATGTTTAGTTTCCCGCTGTCCATTGCACGTGGTTATTATAGATACTCAGGAAAGGTAGCTTCCCCTCTGTATCTCGATTAACTTACTGGTGCCATCACTCAGCATAGGGGGCACCACTACACAGCCCATTCCGCCACACACAAACAACTTACTCTTCCTGGTGCTTGTACATGCCTGCATAGGAGTTCAGTAATTTCAAGACCAACAAATCACAAAGGCAAAAATAAAAGTGTGTTTAATGCCCTTATTACATAGATTCTCTCATTTTTCATAGCTAAATATGAAGTCCCCTAGTTTAATTTTATGGGGAATCTGTATGTGTCTATCCATGGCAGGGGTTGTGGGAGTAGGGGTTGTAGGTTTTAATTTTAGGGTGGCCAGTCCTAATAAATATGACAACCATAAGTACAGCAGCAGTTTGTGATGAGGTACGTTTCCTTGAACTCTCTGTTAAAATAAGGGCAGGGCCAGCCAATGGGAGGATCTCCTAGCTTCAGCTTGCTGTGATTCTAAACTCATTGCTTAATTAAGGTCAAGGTGTTCCTGAAGGCCAAAGATGTTTTCTTGTCACTGGAGATGTGTGTATTCCACAGGTTTATTTCTCTTGCTTTTCTTGTTTTGGGGGGCGGGGGTGGGGAGGCGGTGGATAGGTAGGGGAAGCTATTATGAACAGTGTAGGACACAGAGAATCAGGTAGTTAGGCTGCTAGCTTCCTGAGACACTCACCTGTACTTGCACAATAAACTGGGTTGCCCTGCGGTTCATGTGAAAGGTAGAGCAGACTTAGAGGGCCTACAGTGTGGCCAAAGGTAGCTTCCTGTTTCAAAATCTTAGCGTTTGAGATGCTCTCACAGCCCAGGTGGTCTCTTGAGCTACCGTAGAACCTCACTCACAGTCTCAGGTATCTCCAAGGACCTCCAAATTTATTTGGAGAGTCAAAATCATAAACTTAGAATTCTACACTGCCTCACAAAAACTAGCAGCTACCCAAATAGCCTCTCACTACCTCCATTGTGGAGTAGGAGATTTTAGAACGACCTGGGTGATTAAAGAGTATTAAAGGACCCCTCACCCCGCACAAGAAAAAGAAATAAGTTAGCACTTCTTTCCAAAGCGTTTTTCTATAATTCTTTCATTCTGCATTTTCTAACTCAAGACATTTGGTTCATATATAGATATAAGAATAAAGTCAAACAAGCTTATCTTTCAACATTAACCAAAATCAATGACGTAGAATACAATGGAGAAATTATCTGTTCCTACCTCAAATACACAGTCTTTTTAAAAATCCACATATCATATAATTCAATAGTTTAATCATATCAAGAAGATTTTTACAATCATTACCACAATCAATTTTAAAATATTTGTTCCTTGTACTCATTGTTATTAGTGTAATTTTTTTTAATTTTGGCGAAAATATACACAACAAAGCATTCTCCAATCAACAACTTCTACATGTATAATCCAGTGGCATTGATTATATTCTTCATGTTGTACAACCATTATTGATATCTTTTTCCAAATTATTCCCCCATCATTAACATAAACTCAGTGCCCCCTTAGCAAAACTCTTCCTCCTCCACCCACGGTAACCATTTGTCCATTTTTTCCCCAGTAGTTTTCTTGATAAAAAATTCACATATACACTTCCACAGTGAAGCCGCTTTTTAAAAGCATTGCCTATACATCATCACAATCTGTTCCGGTGCTCCCTTCCCCTCCCGCACTCAGGCTTTGCTGTTCAGTCCCCTCCAACTCCCCATCCCCAGCTCAGATAAGCCATGGCTTCAGTCATTGTCTCCTCGCAGCCACTCCTCCGGGCTTCCTAAACTGGGAAACCTAACGGAAACAATAAAAACTAAACAGAAAGAAGGAATCAACGAGTAAGAAAGGAAAGGGCATCAGGGGTACTTAAAAAGCCAGAGAAGAAATTTCTATCATGGAACAAGTGAGAAATGTTTAAGCCTAGATGAAATTCAAGTTGGGTCAAGAGGGAGGTCAACTAACCAGGTATCATATCATCCTATAGTTCGAGCCACATGTCAGGTTTACCATGATCTCTGTCTGACAACAAAGCTGTTGGACTCCCTGGCCTGTGGCCAGAGGGGATCTGCCAGAGGCTGACTCTACACAGAAAGTCTTGAAGATTGAATGCATTAGGGAAGGGTCGTCAGTGGATATATTCTCTACATATTAAATAGATAATCTCTACTTAATATGTAGAGAATATCTATTAACCACATTTCAGACTTTAGCCAAATGCAGATATTTTTCCAGAACTCATTTGTTATTACTCATTCTTATTAACTGCTATTTACTCTATATCTAATAGGTACCATGCTCTGTTTTTAGGTACTTTATATGTTTGATTGCTTTTAAGGACATCAGTGCCAGTCCATTTTAGAGTAGAAGAAAATAAGACTTACCAGTATATTAAATAATTTGCTCAAGGTCACTCAGCGAAAGAGTGAGAAATCTAGGATCTGAGGCCATGTCTGTCAGATTCCAGTACGCCAGTCCTGACGCTATTGTTGGCTGCTCCCATCCATTCACGCTACCCTACCTTCAGTTAGGGGCCTTTTCGTCATTTGGGATCCAGCAACCCTCAACCCCCAATTCATGCTATTCCACTGACTCTACCTCCAACTCCAGAGTACTCGTAATGCAGGTTAGGCAATCCAAGCATTTATCACTCTATTTTTTATGCTTTGGGTAAAAGTTAACACAGAGAAGTTTCCCATTTAATAATCTATAAACAAATGGCTGCATGAAGAGCACCATCTTTTCTTGACCTCTGGGAGTTGGGTCAAATATCAGTAAATGACCCAGGTCAAGCTAGTCAGAGGCAGAAAGACTCACTGCTAGGACTTTCAGCTATTTCTGTTGGACTGGAGCCCGGAACTGCCACAGCCATTATCCTTAGATGAGGGAGGAGACAGGGATTGGCGCTACCTCAAGAAGGCAGAACCAGGCCAGGAGCTGGCGACACCATTTGATCCACTAGATCAAAGGCCAGGAGCTGGCCAGGAGCAAAGGCCAGGAGCTGACAACACCATTTGAACCACTAGATGAAGCCTGAGCTGAACCAGTCCTAGTCCTGGGTTCACGATTACATAAGCCAGTTTGTTTGTTTTTCCATTAAATTATTTTTTCAAATTCCCTTGTCATTGAAGTCAGTCTGAGTCATGTAAAACCAAAAGAGTTGTGAATGATACAATGGTCTGTTTTGTGGTCCAAATAATCTGGGAAACTGGATTATATGAAGAAGAAAATGGATCAGGATTGGAGAAAAAGGTATCAACCACCTGCAGTAGGCAGGTGACACAACCCTGCTTGCTGAAGAGGAGGACTTGAAGCACTTCCTGATGAAGATCAGGGATTGCAGGCTTCCGCTTGGATTACAACTCAACGTAAAGAAAGCCAAAATCTTCACAACTGGACCAGTAGGTGACATCATGATAAACAGAGGAAAGACTTGTGGGGGAGGTCAGATGCTTAATCCTCCCTGAAGGCAATCGCTGCTACACCGCAGTCTCTTCCCACCACAGGGGTGGGCCGGCTCCCTGCTGCTGGAGACAATGGATTACCTCTCTCTGTAGCCTGAGACCATCAGCTTGGTTCCTGTAGGAGGAGTTCACATCCTACTGATAATGGTCTCTATCAGTTGAGCCAGGAACAAGTCAAACCGGCTCTGTGACATCCAAAATTAGGCTGCCATCCTGTGTCTAGGATCCGCCCATCTTGTCACATGTATACCCCCAAGCCCTCCTCTTCCTATTGTGTGTGTCCCTAGACCACCCCCTCATTGCTGTCTAACCTAGAGTGCAACCCCTTCCTCTGACATATGACTTAACCTTTAATTAGTGGGCTTGCACCCTCCAAAAGGTATCTAGGCCTGGGTCAGCAGTAGAGATCTCTCTCTGGCTTCTCGCTGGTCACTCTCTCCCCTTCACTCTCTTTTCCTCCCTCCTTCCCTTCCCCTCCTTCCCTTCCCTCTCTCCCTCCACATGGACCACCAAGCGGGCTGAGGTGAGCATGCTACCATAAAGGGTGTCTAACTATGCTCTCAATGACTTTAATATAATACTCATATATCTCAACCATACAATTGTGATTACTGAACCTGTGGGCAGTAGCGGTGGGG